CGAACCTGGGATTCGTTGATCTGCACAGCCTGTGAGCGGGAGCCCTGCTCTCCGACCTGCCGATCTTGGGCTTGCCAGCTTCTGCAGCTGTGTGACTTGGGAGAGGCCTCTACCCTGATCCACAGACTTGGGATGTTCTAGCCTCTACAATCACGTGAGCTGTTTCCTTGACATAATGTCTCTCTATATATATATATTTATACACTTCACTGGTTTTGCTTTTCTAGAGAACCCAACCTAAGACAACAACACATATAAAAATCACATCAGATGATAAAATGGACAGTGGCACAATACTGGGAATCATGGCTTAGCCATATTTTGAGGAGACACAATTCAATCCATGACAATTAGCATAAATAAATTAGCACTTTTCTGTCTCATCTTTCTCTTTTCTGGCATGTACTGTAACTAATATTTCCATTTTTGAGGAACATTAGATTTAGCCAAGCTATTTATAAAATTATGTTAGTGTTATTCCTTATTAATTGAACCTGAGATGATTAAAGAACGGGCCCTTGAGAGATCCTGATGACTTTTTCAAAGGGAAAAGCATAAAAATTTATCAAAAGATGAACCTGATAGTTATTACTGTGATGTTGTTTTATTTTTTCCCAAACATGGGTAAATTAAGTGACTGTAAATTTGCAAAAACAACGAATAACCTAATGAAGTTCAAGGTGACGCCTTCAAGTGCTCATCAGATCCCAGGCTTGGGGCCTGCCTCCCTGTGTAGCACTTGTAATCTGTTTTCCCCTGCCACAAGTCATGTTTTTCCATCCTGTTTTGCTCGGCATCTTATGCAAATCATGGTTTGAATTATACACATCATTTCATAAAATGATAAGATCAGCAGTTCATTTTTTTACTTTTGAATATAGCTTTATTGTGATAAATGGATATACAACACTGCATAACTAAAGTGTACAATTTCATAAGGATTGACATATCTATATAACTGTGAAACCATCACTACAATCAAGATAATAAATATATATATTACCTCAAAAGTTTCCCTGTACCTTTGTAATCCTATTCTCCCAATCCTCCCCGTTCCCCCAGGCAACTGGTTGTCTGTTTTCTGTCCTGGGGATTAGTTTGCATTTTCTAGAAGTTTATATAAATGGAATCATACAGTATGTGCCCTTTTTTAGCTGTCCATGTTCACCCAGCACAATTAATTTTATAATTCATCCAAGTTATAGCATGTATCAATAGTTCATTCCTTTCTATTGCTGAGTAGTACTCCATTGTATGGATGGTTATACTGCAGTGTGTTTATAATTCATCTGTTTATATAACGTTTGGGTTGATTCCAGATTTTTGCCATTACAAATAAAGCTGCTATGAACATTTGTGTACAAGTTCTTTGGACATATGCTTTTTCTCTTGGGCAAATATATAGGTGTGAAATATCTGGATTATATATGGTAAGCATATGTACCATTTTACATTCCAACCAGCAGTGTGTATAGAGTGTTCCAGTTTCTCAGCATCCTTGCCAACACTTGGTATGATGAGTCTTTTTAATTTTAACCAGTCTAATTGGTATTTAGTGATATCTCATTGTGATTTTAATTTGCATTTCCCTCATGAGTAGTGATGTTGAGCATTTTTCCCTGCGCTTATTTGTCATTCATATCTCTTCTTTGTTCAGACCTTTTAAAATTAAAATTGGGTTGTTTGTATTGTTTGTGTTGAGTTTTGAGAGTACTTTTTTCTTTTTAATTTCTCATATAAAAATTTATACACATATTATGTGACACCAGTTGCAATCCCTGTAATGTGACAGCACACTCCCCCTTTCCACCCCGAGTTTCCCCTGTCCATCCAACCAGCTCCTGTCCCTTTCTGCCCTCTCATCCTTCCTCTGGACAGGAGCCGCCCATTTGGTTTCGTGTATCTGTTTGAAATAAGAAGCACACTCTTCTTGAGTATTATTTTATGTTTTATAGTCTAGTCTAATCTTTGGTGAACTCCAGAATTTCTATTTCGTTCTTTTTTATAATTTCTGTGTCCTTAATCAGAATATCTACTTGTTGATTCATGGTTGTCATACTTCCCTTTAATTCTTTAAACATGTGTTTTCTTTAATGTTTTGAACATATTTTAGTATTCTTGTTTTTATTTGTAAGCACGGCTTCTTAGGAGTTGCCCCTCTGTTTGCATTGCTTAGTAGTCAGACAATGATGGGATAGAAATTGTGCTCAAGTACCTTCAGCCAGTAAGGCTTTCATCGTCTGCCAATGGATCTGTTATGGGCAGAGGAGCATGTTCAAAGTTCAGGCTGTTTTCAAGTCTGTGCAGCTGCTAACCAAAAGGTCAGCAGTTCAAATCTACCAGCCACTCCTTGGAAACCCTATGGGGCAGTTCTACTCTGTTCTGTAGGGTCACTATGAGTTGGAATCGACTCGACGGCAACAGATTTCTGGGCCCTTTAAACCTCATTGTTGTCAAGAAGTGTGTGAATAGCTTGGGCCCTCTCTGGTCCCAGCTGTGCATATGCATGGCCTCAGATACGAGTGCTTACCCCAGCTACGACTACAACCCCAGCCCTGGCTCTCTCCTCAGCTCACCAACCCCCGAAATATCACTTCCACAGACAGTTTGTTCCAAATCGAGTGGATCTTTATCTGCAGCAGAGAGGCTCCCTATCTTACCAGCCTGCTGTACCCTGGCAGAGCCCTAGAGCTTAGCTGGGGATTGAGGGCAGTAGGAGTAGCCTCAAGTCAAAGTAACACAGATTTCCACTGTTCTTAAGTTCAGCAGTTTTTCATGCATAAAAGCTTCTCAGGTTGTTGTATGGCCTTTAGTAAATTTCCAAAGTACCAAAATGATTGTTTTTGTCGATTTTGTCCAGCTTTATTTTTACTTTTTGCAGAAAGGGTTTGCCAAGTCCTTATTTTGCCATAGCTGTAAGTCCTGCCCCTCTCGTTATTTATTTTGATACTCAAATTGTCCTAGATTTGACCGTTTGAAGCCCCTACTAACTGGCTTCTGGGTCAGGTAGCAGTTTTTAAAGGTCCATTTCTACATTAGGGGTTTATGTGATGCCTTCAAATATGCAGATATACTTTTTTATTGCCAATTCCTATGACCTGTTATTTTTAGAAATTCAGAAAAGGAAATAATTGTAATTATTATTTTTAAACCAGGTAACAGAAACTTTCTACTTATTCCCAAAACCGGTATAATAAATGTATGTGCTTGTTGTCCCCTTTTTCAGAAAGACAGAATCCATTGATGTAATGGATGCAGTCGGAAGTAATATTGTGGTAAGCACAAGAACTGGAGAGGTGATGAGGATTTTGCCAAGGATGCATGAGGACATTAATGAAGAGTGGATCTCTGATAAAACTAGGTATATACTATATTGTTTTCCCTGACTTTTGCAATTAATTTAAAGGTAATTTTATCATCATTTTAATTTTAAAGAACTGTCACATGTATTTGCAAATTAGTTAATAAATACAGACTACTAAAATTTGGACTTTATGTAGAGAATTGGACAAAACAGTCCTAGATCTCTCACTGGTTTTCCATATTAACTTTGAGAAAGATCTTTTTTCCCCCACAGATGGAGAAATTGAAATAGATTAATATATTTTCTCAACCTATTTCAGTTTGTTCATTGACAGAAAAAGAAAAATGTAAGAGTTTGCACAATATAATTTTGGTAAAATATCTATAGAGGTATTCAAATTTTATAACTGACAATGATTTGACTTTTCTGGCTATCAGAATTTTATGTGTCATGATTTTAAGATTATTCAGCTTTCTGAATATAAATTATAAGACATCAAACTCTTAGATGGTGTTTTACTTTCAGGTGATGTTTATAAGATAATCTGTTTATTAGGCCACCTCCCAAAAAAACTGGATAAATTATTTATATCCAGATGTCTACAATTCTATTTGTCACTTTAACTAGTGCTGTTTTTAGATAATATTTCTTGTGGGACTTTAAACTTGAAAATTATAGTTGCCTGTTTAGAGAGATTCCACAATTGGTGTAATTTCTGTTCTTTAGATTTGCCTATGATGGGCTAAAACGTCAAAGACTTACCAAGCCAATGGTCAGAAACGAAAAGGGGCTTTTAACCTATACCTCCTGGGAAGATGCACTCTCTCGTGTAGCTGGAAAGGTAAAGAACTGACATAATGGAATAAGTAGTGTTTGTAGTTTTCAAGGGACTGCTCTGCAGTGAAGAGGGAGGATGTGTGTCTTTACTTCTTTATTCTTACCCAGATTTGATGAAACTCTTCTCATTTATCATTTATTGAGAGCCGTATGCCAGATGTTTTGCTAGATGCAGGATATAAAGACCACTAAAATATGCCCCCCCTACACACACACACACAATCTTGTGGAAGAGAAAGATGCATAATTAGGCAATTATCATATGCTGCTGTGGGTTGTACAGGGAGTGGTATGTAAGAGAACATATAGGAGGGGTGCCTAACCAGGACTAGGATATTAAAGATGCCTTCCTAGAGGAGATAACTACCTAATTAAGTAAAATCGTAGGCGTACTGGCTCACCAGAGCAAAAGTAAGAGGAATGGCTTTCCTTTCAGAGAAAAAGGAACATACACAAAAGGGTAGACGGAAAGGCAGGTACTTCAGAGTAAGCTGCCTTTAAGGGAACTGTAACTCCACAGACTTTGTCCTCTAGACCTCATTTTGAGGCTTCTTTGTTCCTAAACATAAAATAAACTGCTTCCCTTCAAGCTAATGTCATTAGCCTTGACCTCACATATACCTCTGCTTCTCACTTTTTAGATTGTTTTGATTTATGATTGATATAAAACTTTTTAGTCAGAAGTTTATTACTTTCTATGTACTTGAAAATGATTATTTTCTGAACAGTTCATTGTGGTCTTTGCTGAATGTAGGTTTCCTGGTGATATCCTTTTCATCCATTTCTAGTTGCAGAGTTTTCAAGGCAAGGATGTAGCAGCAATTGCAGGTGGTTTTGTGGATGCTGAAGCCCTAGTAGCTCTCAAAGATTTGCTTAATAGAGTGGACTCTGACACCTTATGCACTGAAGAGGTCTTCCCCACCGCAGGAGCTGGGTGAGAAATTGGAAGCTAAGATCTAGGCTTTCTTTTTTTTCTTTTGGTTACAAGTTGTGTATAATTCACGATATCTATGGCATTAATGACTTAAATGTGACAACCTGGATTCTCCAACATACCCACCAATTTACTTACACAAAGACCGAAATCAAACCAGGAGCCATAGAAAGTAGGAGAGTCCATTTATTTGTAAGTATCTGAGACTTCGAAGTAATTTAAGAATATTTCATTTAAATTTTTTGTCTGGGAATGCCGTAGGTTGGATGGCATGAGAATATTTCATGGATTCTTGGTGTGTGTTATTTTAGAGTAAACTTGCATTTTATATGTTATATTTCTAGCACGGATTTACGTTCCAATTATCTTCTTAATACTACAATTGCTGGTGTGGAAGAGGCAGATGTTGTCCTTCTGGTTGGTACAAATCCACGTTTTGAGGCACCCCTATTTAATGCTAGAATTCGAAAGAGGTTAGTAAAAATATTTAGGATTTTAAAAAATATATAATATTATTTTTTGTTTTATATGTGTAAAATGACATTTTAGCTGCTTCCTAAAAGTGTTAGTGGGTATGATACTCCAAAATTGGAGGGCAATTTTTAACAGCTTGCACAGTCTGTTTATTTATTTAATTAAATTTTTGTTCTGAAATACTTCAAAACTTACAAAAGAATTGCTTGAAATGTTCTTTGTATACCTGTCACTCAGTATCATCAGTTGTTAACATTTTGCTCCATTTGCTTTGTTATTCTGTGTATTTGTGTACATATGTATGATTATAGTTTTCTGAATAATTTGAGAGTCAGTTGCAGACATGCCCCTTAATACCTAAATACTTCAGTGTGGATTTCCTAAGAAGGACATTCTCTTATATAATCAAGAAATTTGGTACTGATATAATATCTAATCCATAGTTTATATTCAAATTTCACCAATTTTCCCATAACTTCTTTTATAGCAATTTTTTTTTCCTGTGTAAGCTCCAGTCTGGAGTCACATATTACAATTAGTTTTGAGTCTCTTGAGTCCCCTCTTTTTTTTTTTTTGAAGAATACAGGCCAGTTAGTTTGTAGAATGCCTTTCCATCTTTATTTATACCTTTATGACATATGAATAGGGTGACATTATAATTTGTTATCTAAACTAGGACACATGAGAGTGAAAGGGGGAGTTATTAATTACTTCCGGATAACAAATGGAAACCAGCACTGTCCCAGATAAACTAGAATATATGGTTACCACATTATAACTGTTTTGGGAAGAGATGGATCAACAGCTCCTGTTATAGAGCTCAAATATGAATGATGTAGTTTATTTTCAGGAACTATATTTAAATGGCCTTAATGGATAATTAACAGATATTGACCCTGTCATGTAAATTTTGTGAAATAAAAACTATGGATCATTTATTCCAAAATTAAAGTATTTGTTTGTAACTGGCTTGTAGTTAGCATTCTTGCAGCAAATTAATTTATTGACTTGCCTTGGCATGTATTTTTGCAACATTTTATTTTAAAAGGTCATCGTGGATGAATTGAAATCAACAATGGGTTTGGTTGTTTGGTTTTTTTATTTTAAAAGGTACACAGTAACTTAGATCTATTACGACTAAATCTTCTGTGAGTGCTTTCATGCTTTTAACATTTTGTAATAGTAAATAGATGTAGCATTTAGCATCCGATGAGATCAGTAACTGTGTTAACTCTGTTGCTTTTATTTTAGCTGGCTTCATAATGACTTAAAAGTGGTCCTTATAGGCAGTCCCGTGGATCTGACTTACACATATGACCACCTGGGAGACTCTCCCCACATTCTTCAAGACATTGCTTCAGAGAAGCATCCATTCATCCAGGTGCTCTCGGGTTAAATGTATCTAATCTTGTTGATTTTCAGTTATTGTTATTTTTTAGTTCCTTTATTGTTTTTGTAATAACCATATGTGATTATTGCTAAAAATAATAGCAATACAGAAATAACATGAAAGAAAGTAAATTTTAAGGGACAGGAAAGCTGGACGAATGGAAATGTGGAACCCAAGGTCAAGAAGGGGACAGTGTTGACATGTCGTGAGGTTGGCAACCAATGTCACAAAACAATATATGTATTAAATGTTTAATGAGACTCTTAATTTGCTCTGTAAACCTTCATCTAAAGCACAATTTTTTTAAAAAGTACATTTTACCCAAAACCCTACTGCCTCAAAACAAGTATTGATGAAACATTATAATCATCTGTTTACATATAGAGCAAAATGGATAGTAGTAGGCAGAGAAACAAAAATGAGATCCTACTGTACATACTATTTTTATTTACCAGGGTTTAGTTTTACTTGAAATTAATAGAAAAGAAATTGAAGTAGAAGTGAAAGAACTGAACTTCAAACTTCAGTTAAATCTTTCTTTCTTGCAAAAGGAAATACTCCTAAAAGAAATGTTTGCATGGCTTTTTCATTACCAAGTCCCTTATTTATATTCATTTTGTTGTTGACTAGAGTTCACTGTTTATAGGTTTTATTTATTTTTCAAGAAGGGCACATAAGTGCTCTTTTCCTTGAGTTCTTGCTTGCTTTAAAATGTTTATTACTGAAGAGACAGACTGGCAGAATTCTAGGGTCAACTTTGCCCTCTCTGAACTTTGTCAACACTGCTTCACTACCTTATGTTACTGTGGAGAAGCCTGAAGTCATTGTTATTGCCACCAGATCACACCACCTCATCTTCATTGTTTTTCCTGTCTGGATACTTTATCCTTCTTTATTGTTGAAATTTAACAGCTTCATCTGAATATGGTAATGGTGGTAAGTTTCTCTCTTTTTTTAAGAGGGCTTTTCAGTCTGTACCTTTCAGTCTGAAGATTCAAGATTCTCTGTTTTAGGATTTTAATTTTTGTGTGGTGATTGTTAAAGAAGTGAGGCGTGTCTGTTTTTCACATAACAAGAAATCTAGAGGTTGGCAGTTGAAGGTGATACAGTTGTCCAAGCATACTATCAAGGAGGAGCCTGCCTCCTTTGCTTTTTCAGCGTATTTACTTGTTCATATGTACGTGTGTGTGCATGCGTGCGTGCTCATGAGCGTGTTCGCATGCGCCTCTTCATAGTTCCTAGACAGTTGCTTCAGGTACAGCTTCAGGGTTAACATTCCAGGCAAGAGAAACACAAAGGGCCAAAAGGACAAAGTTGCCAAGCCCAACCCCTCATTTTGTTTCTTTGTTTTGAATAGGAAAAACATTGTCATAATTAAAAGATTGAAAGTATAAAAAGGTTTTCAGTGAAAACTCTTCCCTTCTTTCTAGTTCCCATCTTTATCCCCCAGAACTTGACCAGTGTTCTTAGGGAGTATTTTTCCTCTATCATAGATTTAAATATGTTTTTAGTTCTGTTGTCTTTATTAATAACTCTTTTTTAACCATGCAGATAATTGATTTCTCTATCTTTCATATCTGTCATTTCTAATCATTTTTCCTTTGTTCTCTTCTTCTATCCGGTGTTTTGTGTAATTTCCGATAGCATGTCTTTCTTGTCCCTATATTTCCAGTCATGTTTTATTTTGTGTTGTATTGCTTCTAGAATGGTACTCATCTCTGTAATTTCTCTTCCAGTTCTTTCCTGAATCCTGCGATCAAAATCTATTTTGTTATAGTATCTGTTGTATCACTTTTTTTTCTTTAAGCGAGAAAGCGTGTTTTTTCATTTTCTTTGAGGCTTTTGATGACTTTTTCTGAACTCTCCACATTTCCTTGGGAAACTCTTGTTTAACAGATGTCCTCCTTCCTTTAACTAATAATGTTCCTTTCATTCTTTTTCCCTTTTCTTTTTTTGTAGTATCTATGCATAATTCTTCATGCTGATTCTTTTTTTATTACAATTCATCTTTGTTTGGGGGCAGCTGTTTATTGAAGAATAATACAGGGGATGGGCAGGAGAGTGAACTATATAGTCTGTGGCTTTGCTTCTTATTTGTTATCTTGACCACCTTTCACTCCTTTGCTCTTGGGATGCATCCCCTTCAATTTTTGGCATTTAGAAATTTACCATGGTTTTGAGCAAACCCTTAAAGTTGTAGGTATTCTGCATTGTGATTTAGTGATCATTGCTTCCCCTACATCCTCCTGTCTGTCTGGGGGTGGTGGGCACATAGATAGAAGACAGTAGAGATGGTACTTCAGCATGGTTTCTCCTGTTCTTCAGTACCATCTGAGTCTCTATAGGGACATTCCCAGTTTTTCTGTGACTTGCCTATAGTCTTTCTGCCCAAAGGATATTTGAGTTGTATTTCCTGATACTTTTTTAAAAATCTGTTTTGTATGATACTCATTCAGCCATTTCATAGTAGCATTGGCAAGAGTTTTTTGATTAAAACCATACTAAATCTGGTTCTGTGTATGACTGTATGTGGACTAGCAAATCAAAGACAAGTTCATGTTAGACCTAAAATTTGGGGTATACTATAAATTTCATTAGGTTTATTTTACTTGTAATATTCTTAAATCAAAATTCTTTTAAAAAAAAAAAAATAGGTCCTAAAGGAAGCTAAAAAACCAATGGTGGTTTTAGGCAGTTCTGCACTTCAGAGAAATGATGGAGCAGCAATCCTTGCAGCTGTTTCCAGCATTGCACAAAAGATTCGGACAAGCAGTGGTGTTGCTGGTGATTGGAAAGTTATGAATATTCTTCACAGGTTTGTTGAGTAATTTTTTTATACTAAAATTCAAGTGATTTTGTGTATATGTGCTTCTGGTACCCTGTTTTTAGATTTGTAAGCAGTATCACCCTAATTGCATATGTGAAACAAATCTTTTTTACTCTCTGTGAGAATCTAAGATAATAAGTAATATTAAAAATATCTAGTGAGTGTTGAAGAGAAAGTGAATACTTAAAAATCTCTTGGAAATTGCAATAAAGATCATGCCTCTGCAAACAGAGATAGTTTTACTTCTTTCTTTCTAATCTGGATGCTTTTTTACCTCTTTTTCTTGCCGAATTGCCCTATTTAGAAGACTCTTCAGTACAATATTGAATAGAAGTAGTAAGAGTAGATATCTTTGACTTGTTCCTGATTTTAGGGGGAAAGCATTTGGTGTTAGCTCTAGGTTTTTCGTAGATACCCTTTTTCAAGTTGAAGAAGTTCCCTTGTATTCCTAGTTTGTTAGTGTTTTTTCATGAAAGGGTGTTGGATTTGTCCAGTGCATTTTCTGCATCTAATGAGATGATCGTGTAGTTTGTTTTTATCCTCTATTCTAATTAATATGGCATATTACATTGGTTTTTCAGATGTATAACCAACCATGCATTCCTGGGATAAATCCCACTTGGTTAGCATGTAATTCTTATCTTTATTATAATAAATACTTATCAAAAACATAAACTTGTTCGCCCCTTTCCTTTCCATTTGCTTAGTCCTCCATCCTTTGTTAAATTCTTTTTTTTTTTTTTTTGGTTACTGTCAGCTTACTGCTTTATTCCTTATTTATGAGAAAAGTGACTTAACCTGTCAGTGAGTGATAGAAAAGGCAGCCTTGAAAGCTTTTTCATTATCTTCTCTAATGTAAGCTATTGCTGTTAAAAGAGTTTAGTCCATTGGTCACATATCAGGAAAATACATTCTTGGGAAAAGCAAAACAGATCTGTGTGTCAATCTGAACAAATCATAGCAGGGGTGATTCAGCCTAGTGTTACTCCCATCAAGTAACTAGAGAGAGAGTTCGACAGCGCAGTAGCATCTAGTAGGGGAGTAGGAGTTGCCTTGACCTGCGCTCCTCCCTTAAATAGGTACAAGACCAGCTAGCTTTTACACAATAGGGCCTCAGAATGGCTATCACTTACTAGAAAGATAATACTAGCAGACTAGGCCAAAAAACTCTGATGTCCAAAGTATAGTTATTTCAGAGCTTTTCCTCAAAAGATTATTTTCTGCTTCTAATAATATGTATTCATAGAAAAAATCTGTAAGGACATACATCAATGTACCAGTTATGGCTCTCGTTGAATTACTGTGTTATTTATATTTAAATTTCTCCCCTTTGGTTTTAAAATTATCTGATTTTTCTTTAATGAATATTGTGTTTATGTCTTAGTGTGCTGAATGAGAGTCATCTTAAAGCAGTTGCAGTTGGCTTAAAGTTTCCAGAATTATTCCATTGAATATTATCTTATGAAGAGATAGTAGCCTAAGATTCTTAGATTTCTTTGTTAGCTATTCTCAAAACAATAAAAGACTGCTACTTCTGATTTTGACATTGATTTTAAGTGGGTCAGAAAAGAGAGTGAAGGTCTTTGATAGCATCAAATGGAAAATAGGCTAGGTATCATTCCAAGAATCACATTTATGTTTTTATACTGAAAACACTGCAGCTATGCTAAAATTCCAAAATTGTTGTACAGGATTGCAAGCCAAGTAGCTGCTTTGGACCTTGGCTATAAACCTGGGGTGGAAGCAGTTCGAAAGAACCCTCCCAAAGTGCTGTTTCTCCTAGGAGCAGATGGAGGTTGTATTACTCGACAGGATTTGCCAAAGGATTGTTTCATTATTTATCAAGGTAAGTAGCACCTATAACACGAGAAACAGAAGAGAACGGTACAGCATGTATATTGGAAACTGTTCTGCAGTATACTTAGTGGACCAAATATTCTCCATTCAGGAATTACCAAAAACATTTTTCTTTAACCAAACTTTAGGTTTTATTAGTTACATAGTTGATAACTGCTATTAAGAATTTATTACCTGTTGTTATTTAATAACAGAATTAGAAGCAACTTAAATGCCCAGTAACAGTAATGGTTAAATTATGGTTTACTTATACAATGGAATAGTATATAGACATTAAAAGTCAACTTTTCAGAGAATGTTTTAATGTTTTTATATAGTCAGGAAAGGCACTTTTGTGTAAACATATCATAAAAAATTATATAAAAAAATCAGTTGACTCCTAGAAGGAAATTAGATTATATGGAGAAATTTAGAGCTTAAGAAAATAAAATCCAAATTAACATTATCTTGGGAGAGAATGACAGAGACAAATGATGGTAGTTTCAGTTTGTCTCTTTAGGATGTCAACTTTTCAATAACAGAATCTTTTAGGAGACTGTGGAAACCATAGAACATTTTAAGTTTCAGCCTGAATCGATTTCATCATGTGGTACATGACATTTAATGAACCATATTTAAGCATAATACTCCTTTGGCTTTTTGTGTTTGGCTTATTTTCTTAAAGATAAAAGTATTGCATAATTTTCTACTTTATTTCACACATAAACACCATAAAATTATAATAGGCGTTTTATTGCCATGGCACATAAAAAAAATCTATACGGTATTTTGTATCTTTAGTTTGGTGAAGTTAAATCAAAATGCATAAACTAAAATCCTGTTTTCTGGTGCTTTCCAGAGATAATCATTGATGACAGTTTTGATATGCATACTTCATACATTTGCCATGAATATACAAATAATAACTATGTACACAAATGAGATCAAACTTTATATATTGTTTGATACTTTATCTTACTTGACTGAAGTCTGTTTCTAAAGCTCGTTTCTTTTTTTATAACTTTCTTCGAACAGTTAAACTATTAATAAGTGATAGTCTTTCCTATAATTTTCTGTCTCTGTCCTTTTCAGTTTTATTACTATCTTGGTCTTATTTTATACTTTGCATTCTTCCACCATTTCAGTCTACTTTACCAAATTCCACTGACTGGTACATCTGAGCATTTCTACTTTGTAAGCATCAAGGAAAATAATACACCTAATTGCCCATTGTATATGTCTGTATGATATTATATACATATGTATTTGCATAAAAGTTTAGAAAGATACATACCAAACTCTTTAATAATAATTCTTTTGGAAAGGAGTTGAATTAAGATGAGCTTTAATTTTTACTCCAAATACTTCAGTACTGTATTGGTTTAATTTTAAAAATACTTTCATCATTTTAAAAATGGGATTAAAAAGGAGTGTGTACCATCTTTATGTAAAATTACTAATCAATTTTTTACAAAAATGTGGTTTGCCATTTTCCATTTCTCACAGGACATCATGGTGATGTGGGAGCTCCTATAGCTGATGTTATTCTCCCAGGAGCTGCTTATACAGAGAAGTCTGCTACTTATGTCAATACCGAGGGCAGAGCTCAGCAGACTAAAGTAGCTGTGACACCACCTGGTTTGGCAAGAGAAGACTGGAAAATTATAAGAGCCCTCTCGGAGGTATTGTTTTTGAGGCAACAGGATTTTTGACATGTTCATTTGTTAAAATAATTTTCAAAGTTCAAGAAGTTGCCAGTCTGAAATGTAAGAGGTGATTTGAGTAATCTCTATAGAAAATATTTTGAGAAAATGGGGATTTGAAGTTAGTGTTTTTATTGTTGACTTGTCTTTTGATTAAAAAAGTTCCTTTTAGCTCTTTTTGGTATAAAAATAAGCATCATGAGATTTAAAATAATATTACACTATCATCTGTACACTTAGTATATGATTACTAATAGGTTACAGAAGCATTCAAAGTTAGCATAGCATTATTTCATGAGTCTGTTTTCTAAAGATAAATTACTAATATTGATGTACCAACAGCTATCTATGAGTTAATAAAAATTTTGACAATTGTGTTTCCTCTGTAACTGCTTGCTTAATAAATGTATGTTGGTTAATGGACACCAATAAATTTTTCAGTAGTACTGCATTATTTCACCATAGTTGCAATTATGTATCATTTGAAAATTTTAAGTATTAAAGCTTTATATAATCTTTGGGGACCTGATATATTGTAGATTGCTGGTATAACTCTTCCGTATGATACTTTGGATCAAGTGAGGAACAGATTGGAAGAAGTTTCTCCTAATCTTGTTCGATATGATGATGTTGAAGGAGCCAACTACTTCCAGCAAGCAAATGAGCTCTCGAAGGTAGTAAAAACTCGCCATATGCAGTTTTCATGATAATGTATCCCCTAGTATAATAGTACTCATTCTTGCCACTATCACTGATTTCTTATTCCTTTTTTTTGGCAGCTAGTGAATCAGCAGCTGCTTGCTGATCCACTTGTCCCACCTCAGCTAACGATAAGAGACTTCTACATGACAGGTATGTAACTGTAGTCCTGACCAATTTTGGTTCCTACTGAAGTTATTTATAAAGATATTCTTAACTGTTTCTGTCAGTGTGACTACAAAATATGAAAGGTGGAAGGAAATCAAATTCCCTAATTTAGCATTGGAGTCCCTGCATGGTGCAAATGATTGATGTGCTTGGCTGCTAACCAAAAGACTGGAGATTCTAGTCCACCCAGAGGCACCTTGGAAGAAAGGCCTTGCATTCTGCAAAAAATCAGCCATTGAAAACCCTATGGAGCATAGTTCTACTCTGAAACACATAGGGTCACCATAGGTTATAATCAACTCAGTGGCAGCTGGTTTAATTTAGCATTATAATTCCAATCAGTGACTGGTAGTGTTTGATACTTTTTGATTTTACTCTTTTAAGTTTTTGTTTCTAGAACTAATCAATAATAAAAATATAAGCAAAATTTGAAAATCCATGAATAAGTAACAGATTTTAAATATGAAATATTTACTATTATATGGAAAAACATTGTATTCAGTTTAGAGAGGGTTTTTCAAAGTGGCAACAACTGAAGGTTTTTCTGAAAATTTCAGATAGAAGAAACAAAGCATTCACATGTGAAACATACTAAACAGTGGTTGTAATGTAAATTGTTAGGGGTGTTTTTAAAGAATGCAGATTAAATGAAACTTATTTACTGCAAATCTTACGTTGATAAAACATCTAGGTTGTGAGGTACTTGATATAGATAGATGGTTCTATATAATTTTAACCTAAAAGCAGATAGGCATTATGTATTAAAATTTTTGGTACACTTATGTCCAGAATTATTCTTAGGTTTTTTACTTTTGTTATAAAAATTGTATGTTCAGTGTAGAATATATACTTCAGCTGAAAAGAACAATAAAAAATCACCATGATCCCACTATCCAGAAACTACATTTATTGTTAACATTTGGCCAGTGATGTTTCAGGGGGTTAGACAGATAGATGTATGGGTGGATAGATACAGAGTTACATTTTATTTAAAAAAAAAAAAATGAGATTATTTACTTACTGTGGGGCTTTTTAAACAGCTTTATTGAGATATTAGGAGTCCTGGTGGCGCATTGGTTAACACCTCAGCTGTTACCCGAAAGGTTGGTATTTCGAACCTACCAGCCATTCTATGGGAGAGAAAGATGTGGCAGTCTGCTTCTGTAAAGATTGCAGCCTTGGAAACCTATGGGGCAGTGCTACTCTGTCCTGTAGGGTCACTATGAGTTGGAATCGACTCAGTGGCAGTGGGTTTGGTTTTGTTTGTTTTGTGGTGGTACAGTGGTTAGGCACTCGGCTGCTGACTGAAATGTCAGCAGTTTGAAGTCACCAGCCACTCTGAGGGAGAAAGTTGTAGCATCTGCTTCCGTAAAGATTTACAGCCTTAGAAACCCTATAGAGCAGTTCTACTCTGTCCTATAGGATCGCTGAGTCAGAATTGAGAGCAACAGGGTTATTGCAATATAGTTCACATACCATAAAATTCATCCACCTAAAGTATGCAGTTCAATAATTTTTGGTACACATACTGTTTTGTAACCTTTTTTCAATAACAGTATATATGCAAATTTTTTCCTATGTCTTAAATATTTTTCTATAATATTTTTAATGATTATATACTGGTGCATTGTATGGCTGTGCTGTAATTATTTGATCAGTCCTAGAGGTAGTTATTCAAGCATTTAGCCAAGAGAGGGGGCTTATTTTCTAAACTTGTTGGTTGACCTTATGAACTTTAGATATAATTGCATCGAGCCTCAGTCTTTTTTTTTTCCCTGAATATGTGCAACCTTAAAGTTTTATTCTGTGCTTTTTAAAAAATTGTATTATCAAAAATGCACATTTTCTTGATATCTTTACAGATTCAATTAGCAGAGCCTCACAGACAATGGCCAAGTGTGTCAAAGCTGTAACAGAGGGTGCCCAGGCAGTAGAGGAACCATCCATCTGCTGAAACATCTACTAGAAACCCAGTTTTGCTCCAGATAATTAATGAACAATTATGTTGGAGTGATCCCTTAGAGGTTAATCTCTTTAATGAAGAAAAATCTGAATGATGTAGTATTTAAGGTTACACCATGCTTATTTGATAATGATACTGTATTTATCAAAGAACTTTAGGGTTTCAAAAGCGTTAACATATTGTGTGTGTACATTGTTAAATAGTTTATTAAAAGTGTATACAGATGTTCTTTCATGTAAGAGCAATGATAATCTTTGTGACAAATATAACGAAAATCCTTAAAATACGAATTTTTTGTTTGTCTTCATGGATCCCTTTATAAAATGGAAGAAATGGGAAGAGCTTCCATTAGAACCCACTTTTTTCTAGCGCTAAAGAAAAGATTTAAGCATTCTGTCAAGCTGGTTAAATAGAAAAAAATATGTAATTATACGTTAGACACATTTATCTTGGCTAACTATAATCATCATAATGATAGCTGTAACTCTTCAACTTTTTTTATGTGCTAAACACTCTAGTTTCACATGTATTATATTTTGTCCTTGTAACAACCCTGTGACATAGCATTATAATCTCATTTTATAGATGAAGAAACTAAAGCACTAGGATATTAAATAGTTTACCCAAGGCCACACAGCAAAAAAAAAGTCACAGACTCAAGCCTAGCTGTCTCCAACTCCAAAGCCCACTGTTCTTAACTGCTACACGTAACTCTCTCCCAGTAATACCAGTTCTGTAGGTTTACTTTTAAGAATTAACATAGAGAAACTCAATGGATAACACATTTTCCTGTTTCTCTTAATATATGTTCTCACACACACACACACACCCTCAAGGAACTGGGGGACACTTGCTACAACTATAAAAACAAAATCTCGGAATGAGGGAGATCGTAAGAGATATGATTTACATCGTTGATGTTTTGTATTCATTATATTAGCACCATCTGTAATGTTAACTCAACTAAATTATTCCAGTAATAGAAGATAACTACTAGCTTTCATAATTTTCAATTTTCAGAACAAAAAGGAAGTAAAAATTACAATTATTTAATCTAGGAGAAAATCTTAAAGCTAGATTAAGTTTTTTCAAAATCTATGTTTAGAATCTTTTTTGCTATGTGATCCTTATTCCTTTCTGCTTTCAATAAAGACAGCCCAACTATAGGATTCCATTTTCATGATATAACAGTCAAGTTTTTAGAATAGTACTGTATCATCATTCCTTTTATTTTTTAAAACTTGTGCAAAGTTTGTCACCTCTTAACCACTTTAGAAAAATTTATCCTTCCCAGTAATATGTCAAGGAGCCCGACTGATGCAGTCGTTACAGCACTTGGCTGACAATCAAAAGGTCGGCAGTTCCAACCCACCATCGGCTCCACAGGAGAAAAGACCTGGTGATCTGTTCCTGTAGAGATTTCAGCCTAGGAAACACTGTGGGGCAGTTGTACTCGGTCCTGTAGGGTCACTATGAGTCAGAATCACCTTGACAGCATGCAACAACAGTGACATGTCATGAAGTTGTATACTACTTTGCTTATAACAATTCCAGTTGCCTGAAATTACATAAATTCTTGCAGAATGTCTTTGAATTCAACCCAAACTTCCCATCCCTATCTACCTCCTTCACTCACTAGTACTGTGCTTACCTCGAGGGGGCATGCACTCTCAGTTTTGTATTTTACACAGTACTTGTCAGTGAATGTGTGTAGACTTAGTAGGGTTGTTGATGAAGGAATACTGTGCTGAAATGACAAAGAGATGATATATAGGCTAAGCTGATCTGGGATCCTGCCTACTCCTTATGCTGCCCTCTAAGCAGCATGCATTGAATAACATGTAATTTTCTAAAGAATGCTGCGGGACATGGAACCCCTTTGTGGTAGATGATTTGGCCTTGGGCCCTTGTTCTGAGAGTAGGACCACAGCTGAGGCCAGTGAGTGAGGGCTGATCCAACTACCAGGAATCACCTGAGGGCCTATACTAACTAAACCTCAGGAGGCGTGATGAGGTCTGATTGCTTGCCCATGTGGTGTACCACATGGGCTTTGGGGTTTAAAAATGGCTAGCAGAAGGACCTCATGGTCTCCCTAACTGTGGTGCTAGGTGGGGTACACTTAGCATAAGTTTTCAGCTCACGTAATTAGACCTACCTGGCTAGGGGGAGACCAACAGAAAGTAGTTTCCCCGGGTAGTCCCCCCTTTAAGTCCCTCACCCACAGCACAAAGTGGGGTATATGTGGAAGAGTTATCTGTATCTGGACAGCCTTTTTGAGTTGGGGGGATGTTCAAATGGGTCTGCATTTGTTCTGGTTTGCTGTCTGCTTCTTATTGTAAATAATAAAAGCTACTTTCCATGTGCTAATCCTTTGAGAGTGTCTGGTGTGTTCAGACTGATTAGAAGGATGTGATATCCATGGACCAATTGATTTTGGTGATTTCTAGTGGTCTTCTTTAAATTAGAAATTGGGGGCAAAATGTCACACAAATGTCTTGCCTGGGGTAAGTAGTGCTCGATAAAATACACTGGTTTTTATGTAAACATGAAAATCTGCCTCCATGAGCACGTTAGTTATGTAATGCTATATATTAAGGCTAGTGTAAACATAAACATTAAAGATGGCTGCTAGTAAAAAGACTTTCTGAAGAAAAATACATAAACGTGAGAATAACCTGGCTGATAAAATTATGGTATTATTCAAAGTAATGAACTCATTAATGAGAATATATACAAAGGCCCAAGACCCTTTGGGTGAAGAAGGCAATCTAGGAGATCCTGAAATATCATTTACTGAGGACCTTCTAAGTACATGCCTTTAAAGCTTTAAATACATTATGGCTAATCTTTACAAAAACTGTTAATGGTAGTAATTGAGACTCAAATGTCAACTTGCCCATGATTAATAGATCTAAACGCTAATGGGAAGAATGTCTAGAGGTATTTTCACTATTCCATGCTACCTCAAAAATATTTTGGACAGCTGTAAAAACTGAATATATATGTACAAGAAAAATCTTAAGAGCCTACACTCCATATGGAATGCCATCAAAATTTGTTGTGAATTGTATTATAATGAATACATTAATAAAAAGTATCATGCCTTCTTAACAATACCCAATACATAATCTATTAGGCTGTGGCTAATTTGCTGAAATATTTCATGCCAGGTCAGACAGATCCTGTTCAACGTTCAAAAGTTATTTAACTTTTCTAAGAATGTTTTTCAGCTGTAAAATGAGAGTGAAGATTGTAATTAATTGTATCTACCTCCAACCTTATAGGGTTGTTATGAGGATTAAATCAGAAAGCCTGTAAAACCTCTAGCCTATTTCCTGAAACATAGTAAATGATCAGTATATTTAATGAGGGCCATCATAGAAAAACGTGCATTCAAAATTTTGCTTAGAGTTTCAAGAGTTTCCAGCTAAAGCTCATTCGTGACTCCTTGATCCCAAAGTTAAAAATCCCCATTCTGAATAAAGTGAAAAACTCAATTCCACAGGTTATGAGGGAAAAAGTCATTGCTAACTTTTTTTTCCCCTCTGGGAGTGGTCTGGCTCTCAATTATTTTTCAGTCCTTTTATATTTTAGTTTAGTTGCAAGTTTAGGAAGGATTTCAGTTAAAAGTGAATGGGTTAAAAAAAAATTCTCAGGGCTTTCCACACGTATTGTTTAGTGAGAAAAGGAACATCAAAAAGTTAATAAACCCATTTTTTGTAAAACAAGAAAGGTTCTATATATGTTAAATGAAAATTGTTTTTGATGTAGAAGGGTGAGGGAAACTTGCTTTGAGGTCAAGACAAAAGTGTGTAAGACCCTTCTCATTTTTCCTTCTTATAGGATTGAAAGTGACTGATTTACAGGTCAGAAGAAAGCCAGATTGCTTTTACAACTTTTTATAATAAAAGAAAAATTTGGAGCTGGATTCTTAAGAGATCTAATGCTTCTGTGTTATTCATTCCCTAAGGAAATGTATTTATTCCCTAAGGCACTGAGGATTTAGATGACTTTTACAAGGTAAACCTGATCAACAAAATACTGCTACTACAGACCATCCACCAGACTTGTGAAAGTAAATTTATTACGTAGAACCCTATTTTGATAGAATTCTTACCTGTAGCAGTAAAGATTTATTTCTAACAGTAAAAACCATAAAACAGTCCTATCAAGAGAAGATTATGTACTAGTAATAGGCTACTGAAAGAGTATTAGAGCTACTGATGTGTATAAATGGGAACAGGTGGATTCTTTCGCCAACACAAACCTTTGGCTAGTGTAAACCAACACAGCCTTATTGTTACCCAAACAAATTACCCCACCACTATTCATGCTACCAAGAAGCGAGGAACTGAAGCAGCTTAGCAACCAAAGCAGTAGTTAATATGCGATTTTATGTTCTGTTTTGTTTTAATGTTAACATATAATCACTCATGAATGCTGTTTAAATGTCACTAGCATAGTGATTACAAACCCCAGTTACCAAAGGCCCCAGTGTGGCTGTGAAAATTGAGTTCAAGCAGAAATTAATGAGAGGGGTATATGACAACTGTCTTTTATAACATTTTTTAAGGCAATCCTATTTTAGCATATCTAGACCTTGTTTTTATGTGATTAACTCAACTTTTACAAACGCAGGCATGAAGAAAAATGAATCTGATAAAGATCTGTAGGAACAAAAAAATTGTATATATACACATTTATGGCTTCCTTTTCTATAAAGATATGAAGACAGCTTATAATTCCCTAGTAATTTTTAATAACCAGTTTTTAAATATCAATTGCCTAACACTTTAATTAGTTTTGCTTACTTAATTTAGCCCAAGTGGCAAGCATGTTAATGAGAAAACTATGACTAAGCCTCAGGTCCTAGACTAAAACGAGAATCTCAGAACCAAATATCCTCTGCTTAGTATTTTTTTCGTGGTCATACCACTGACAATGCTTAAAGATAGAAGATTGACTTATTTATGAAAGGTATTCAAAATCTTTGAGTTTTTTTTTAATAATTTACACTGAAAAGTATAAGTTGGCATTGAAAAAATACGGCAAAGGCAGGGTCTAGGACTAGTTATTAACGTATTTCATTTGAATAGATATCTAAAGAGATCCTAAGATGAATAAATTTTATTAATTACATTCTTAGAATCATATAATTTTGGATCTGAAAAGGACTGTAGTGACAACCTAGTGATACACCTGTGTTTTATAATTGAGGAAATGGAGGCCAGAGAGAATAAAGAGGCAAGATAAGGGATAGGTCCAGCTCTTCTGACTCCTAG